CAACGTTGATGTACCTGATGATGACAAAACCTTGTCGAAACGTTGTACATTTACTGTTATGTTAAACTTATATTAAAGTTTTTCTTCATTAACCATTCAAGCCGTCTCCAACCATTATTAGTCTCAAAGTGGGTTCCTCGTCATCGAATTTGAAGTACCTAACAATTCAGTTTACGTGACTGGCAACTTGTGTTATGACCCAACCTTTTAACAACTGCTTCACATGAATAAGCCACTTAATCTGTTACAATATAGTGAAATAAATCATGGTTATCACTTCTTAATGTCATGTCTTATGTACCTTGTGCTCTTTTCATTTGTTTTTAAATATGTATGATAACTACTGAAAAGGAAACTTTGGAACATTCGAACCAGAGTAATCAATTTAGGAACTGTTTGCTGTCTAAATAATGTATTGTTATCTTGTACAACGATATTAATACTAATGTTTTTCGCGCTTGCTTATATAATTTTGTTGTTGCTGATAACGGTAATTTTTCAACTGACCGAAAACTAAACTAGCTGAAGGAAATTTCTTTATTTTGCTAACAACATATCCAAGTCGCATTGAAAAGAAATAACAGTGGCTCGGCAAGTCTGATAGATAATAACGCTAAAAAATCAGGTTTCAATGCCCGCGGTGGGCAGAGCACGATAGCCCGTTGTGTTAATTTGTGCTTAAGAACAACCTAAAAGGAAAACAATTATCTTTCAAGTTTCAATAACAAAAAAAAAATAATTTTTCAAATTAGAATTCTTTAAATATTTACCTAGAAAGGAGATAGAAGTAAAAGAATTGTGTATATTTTCATTTTCTTGTGAAGTGTGCTGCATGCACAGCTTAACGTAAAGCATTAACAAGGAAACCAGACGACTGGCAAGCGGATAGTAACTACAAGTTCAACAAAACCGAAAAGTAAACTAGCTTAAACGAGAGAATCTTTATGTAAATGAATCGTTTGCATCTTTTACACTGGCATTCCAAGTTAAGAATGGAAAAATATCATTTGCATGACTAAACTCTTAAGTTCTGTAATGAGAAAGTTCTTTTCCATTCACATGTTTAGTATAATGAAACACAGTTTTCTGTGCTATATCGCATAATTGTGTCTGCCATGGTTACAAAAGTATAAAAAAGTAAAAGCTGAACATAAGCTAGAGAAATAATCTACTTGAGCCTTACAGTATTTACAGTTCAACGATATCTTATTATCGATCAAGTTCAGCAATATATCATCTGAAATGGCAATGTTAGAGACAATTTTCTTTGATTTATGGCATGGTTGTTCTGTAAATGTTTCATCACAACTGTATTAAAAATAAACCTTCCCAACTTCGCAGTTTGTATGAACCGTTAATTATCTCAAAGTATTCTCGTAATTAAACATAAGTAAAAATATTACCGGATACTGAAACTGGGGAATTAAATTAATGTTGTAGCATGAACGCAATTGCTGTCCTAACGTCAAGTTACTCTAAGCTTATAATTCTTACTAGTTTAAAGAAATTATTTCCACTATAAAATAATTTCGATGTTCATGTTTTTAACGCACAGGTACATAATAAGGTACCAGCGCTCTGTCCACCATGTACAATCGAACCCAGGATTTTAGGATTGTATGTCCTGAAATTTACCACTAGCCTACCGGGGTGCAGTTAAAGATCTTTATCATTATTAATGTGACGTAGACTTACGTATTATATACATAACAACAGGTTATGCTTGTGTAACATATTTATTTCCAATTTTATATAATTCCTGCAATGTTAATATGCAGCATTGTTCAGTTTTTTTTCTTAATGAACAATTTCTTTGGTTCAGAATTGCTGTAATTTTTATGTCAATTTGCATTTTAATTTTACTTCGAGTTTTCATAATTTATAAAACTTCAGAATAAAATAAAATAATGAACTAAGATAAGCAGGATATTTTAATAAAATGTTATTTTTGGGACCCATCTAGAAACTCTAGTGGTAGACTAATATAATAACCTAAACTCTTTAATTCTAGCTTATTTGAAATATTCCTTTACGAAACTGAACTTTTTGGTCTGTTTTTTTTTTTAATTACTGAGTACGGCTGACTCGTGGGCTCGATATTTTAGACTAATTTCAAGGCCCAGCAACTTAATTAATGTCTCAATACAATTCACTATACGGTATTAAATCTTGGTTTAACAATGAAGTTTAACTCAAAAAGGTTTTTTAAAAACAGGTAACTAATAATGACCTTATAAGACTTTCCAAACATTAGCTAGCATTTCTCAGTGTTTATCAAACATTCATTTCGTTATAATATTTTCATTGACCTCAGTGATGCAATTTTCACGCTCCAAAAAGACTAGAAATGTCCTATACAAATACACATCAGTAGTAACTGATTCAGTTTTATTACTGATTAAATGTAGGAGAAAGGAAGGTCAAATCCCATAAAACACCAGTTCTTTTTGTTTGTTTTTGTTTTATCAACACATATTTCACGAAGCTCTTTAAACTCGAAATACATTCCTGAGCGAACAAGGAGAAGATATACTCCAGGAAACTAGGTCAGTTCTAAAATTCCTGTCACGTTTTTTAGACGCAGCATAGCAGCTCATAGAATGGCTCTGAGGTTTTTTTTTGTGTTTTTGAAGTACAAACTTTTAGCTCTTGATCAATTTAAGATCTAATTACAGTTTTGAGCTCGGGAGGTAAAACCCTTTCGATTGCTGTATTTGACCACGCTCAAAGTCTCATAGATTAATTTGCTGCCTAAAAGTATTTCAATTTGAGGGTATGTTGGTAGAGATCCTGATGAATAATAAAATCGAATCGGGTATACACGCGCCCAACGCTTAGTATTGCTGACGCACAAAAATATAGCTCAATAAAGGTAAAAAGGTCTCGTGGATTAATTTACTCTAATCCTGCCTAAAAGAATTTCAAGTGCCGCGACTGTTGAGGATTCCTTCTTGTTTTATGTTCTTCAAGTATTACTCGTTTCTTGAAAGTTTAAAAAGAGATAAAAAAACTTACAATATTACCATTCTTTTAATTAATGTCGACGAGTGCTAAACAACTCCTGAGTTTCGATTTTTTTCTGAAAGTAAATATAACTGAAACTTTGGTGATATATCTTAACAACCAAAAAAATTTACAATTTAATGTCATAATTCGGAAAAGTAAAGCTATTCGACCAATGTGTTTTACCAACCTTGATATATGGATGTCAAACTCACTAAACAGTTTAACTCAAGATTGCAGACAACACAAAGAGCAATGGAAAGAAAGATACTAAAGATCAAGCTCGAGGATAAAATTCTGTGCTCAGAGATCAAAAGAAATACGGGGTAAGAGACATCTCCAAGTATATTGCAGAATCAAAATGGATTAAAAGACAACAGATGGACGAAAAGAATCACAGAATGGCAGTCCCGCAGAGGCAAGAGCTCAAGAGATAGACCACGTAGAAGATGGCATGAAGACATCATAGAGAAAGAGGGCAGACACAGCCTAGAATGAATGAACGAAAGCTATAGTTAATTACGTTTCTTAAAATACATCAGCTTAGGCAGTTTTGTTTAATATTTGTATAGAGAGTTATTCTGAAATGCTTGATAACTTTATCTAACAAAATTATTTCGAAATTATCAAATACCTTTGTAATATAGCATTTCTTATAAAAAGCTATAATGTGTTGCTTAAAGCAATAGTATTTTACTTTTAACTAAATATTATTTCCATTTCTTGATATTGTTAATACAGTGATAAGTTCGCAGTATTCAATAATATTTTTTTATATATTTTGTCGCAAAATAATACGTGAAAAGAGAAGTAAATGTTATATTTCCTGAATATCAAACGTAGCTTCATCAGAAAACAAAGGGAATTCCGAAAATTCATTGCTTACTTTTTTCTTTTTATTTCAACATGTTTTCATAGGTACTGTTCACTTGCTTGTGGATTGTATGTAAAGGACAGTTTTTGAAGATAAGCATTCTTCCAAAATGTATTTATCTAAGATAAACTTTCTCTGAACCCTCTAAACTATCCTTCTAACTACCTTATGTAATGTATCATTATAAACTCAGTATATCTGCACGAAACTTTAAAACTAATATTACACGGAATTATTACCCTCGCCTCTGGGTACGAGTCTGTCTGTCTGTGTTTTCGCGCACGTATCTAAAAACTAACAGACCGATGAACACGAAAATTTTACACAAGATGCGTGTGTTTGTGTAGCGCAAAACCACATTGGGCTATCTGCTGTGTCCACCGCAGGAAATGCGTCGTGAGTTCCCTTCGGGGGGATTTTGCATAAGACGGGAATTCAGTGTGGGACAGTATCCCCAAATTTAGCCCGGATGCAATCCTGATTCTGGATCAGTTTGAAGCATTTTCGCGGTTTTTTGTTAACTCTGTAAAGTGTGATCGGATTTTAACAAAATTTTCATGGACACATTAAGGTGGAGACTCCTCATCATACTACAAAAATTTTTCTGAGTTTTCGAAGGTGAAATTTGACGTTATCCAAAGTAAACGCATGCAATCTCGAAAAGGAGAGGTGGGACCAGGGTATGCAATATCTCTGATTGCTTTTGTTTGTTTTGTTACAGCATTCAGATTGTCAGTTCACACAAATACCTCCCACCCACCCTTCATGTAAACTGTAGGAAGTAACTTTTTCATTGTACGTGCTCTTCAAATAAATCATTCAAGCATATCTTAAAACTATTTCCACTAGTTATTTAACAGCAGATGAGTGTGAAGGAAAGCTTTTTTCATGCATAAAATGATTGGCTGATGTTCTGTTTTTATTTTTGCATCAGATTTATTGAAAAATGCATGAAGTATTGTATAAATCCTATGCAGTTCTGTTTTTGAAAACAGTGCTAAAAGAAAATCACGTACAATTCTATCGATGTGTAGAAATAGCTAATTCACCAGAAAACTTATGAATTTTCTTCTCGAAAATAATAAATCCGTAGTTTCATATTATGGAAATTTTATCTATTTTTTTGTTAAAAGTATTTAAAGTAATATTTTGTTCGCATTAGTTAGTGAAATGTGTTAGTTTATATAACACAAATTTCACATCAACCGAATATAGCGGGGCTACATTTCACCAAGAGTGCTTATGTGTGAACTACTTTAAAATTGTCAGATAGAGCTGAACACTGATCAGAAGGAATTCCCCTAAAGATTTTTGTTTTATTTTGTCGGGAATAGTAAATGTCATAGCAAAAATGGGAAATATATCATTGGGCGAAAAATATTCTATAAATAATCATATTGCCTTATTTTATTCACACAACCTGAACTTTACTAAATACATTTTATGGGTTTTTATATCATGGGTTTAATGATGCACTCAATTAGTTCTTTGTAATATGTAATTTAGAAAATGATATTTACATAAACAATTTACTTTCCTTAAAAGTACATTTTATGTTTATATTGTTCAACATCGCACTGATTCTAACGAAGCAATGCAACTTGATTTTCCACCAACGTAAGGACTGAGACTGAACAGGTTTAAACTTGTTTCAAATTTTTCTTTTTCGAACATTAGCTGACAGTATGTTATCCTGTTACCTTTTTTCGAACCACAAACAAATAACACATCTACTTAATACATTTAATTAGAACTTGTTTAATATTGTTGTTTATCATAATTGGTTTAGAAAATATACTTATTTTTTGTGTATTATTATAAAGACGTTTTTAATAGATTTCTATTGTAAAAATGTTTTCCCCCTTCCTATCTACTTTTTATATATTTTAAGTGTTTTCGTTGTGCAGGAGAAAAACCCGCAGCCATGCATCATGGTGTGACGTCTGTTGGTGTAGGTGTGTGTGTCCTGCCGGTCTTGGTGTTGATCTTTGTGCTGTTTGGACTACTTTGTTTGACAGATGTTTTAGCCAGATAGCTACGTTAGAAGCTGCAGGTGAATTCGAGTTATTCGTCAATTTCAGTAGAACAATCTGTGATGAAAAGATGTCGTAGTTGATTACGTGATTACCTGAGAATGTGTCTGATAGTTTGTTCTTTCATGCTTTAAACCTCAAAATATACCTTCATACTTGTGACACGCTATCTTGGTAATCGTTTACGCAAATTTTGTTGTAATCCAAGTGAACCAGACACTCACTGATCACCACTGTCGTGTTTCGAGGAAAATAAAGCAGAAAACGAAAGACTTAGGGAAACTGGTTAGTCTCGTTGTCATTTTGTAGGTTGCGACAGATATTGGCTTCACAAAGAAGTGATTGGATTAAGTGCACCTAATGTTCAACTGTTGGATTTACATGTCTACATTACGGACCAAGCATGTTGTTTCTTTGTCAAACTGATCATGTTGGCCCTCTACTTATTTCTTAGCTGTCGGTATACAACCGCTACTGCTCAACAACCAAGGAAGAAGACTGAAGAATGCGAGTCAAGAAGAAAACTATTTCATGTATTACTCACTAAAGTTCGAAAACTCGTAACTGAATCATTTTGTCACTTTCTCGTGTCATTCTCTACTTGTAGTAGATTTTAAATAACAGAGTCAATAAATCTTTGGTGCTCCTGTCAATCGGAGGTGTTAGTTGTTAAGTAACTCGTATCATTTATAGTACTGTACTATTTCCAAAACTTGTGTTCCCCTAAAAGCCTGTCTAAAGTAGAACACATTGTTTTCTATTCATCGTCAAAATGAAAACAATATTTATAATAATCGTTTGATCTCATTAATTAGATAGGTATATTAGATGCAATTAACACAAAATAAGCACGCTGTGAAAAATGTTTTTAAGTCTAAAGTAATCTTTGAAATACATATAACTGAGTCTTCTTGAACTAGCTTAGCACAACAGAAATGTTTGTGTAACTATAAATTTGATATTACATTCAATAATTGCTTGGAAATCTTACTCGGCTAAAAATGATAAAGAATTTTTAACACTTCTCTCTTGTTCAATCTCTTACATAATTGGATAAAATGACACATATTTATTACTTGCATTTAAGTTCAAGTGAAAACAAGCTAGTTCCAAGTTAAAATGTACAAAAGTTTAAGATATTGCTTTTCCCTACCGTGATAGCTCGAGGGCTTATAACGCTAAAATTTGGGTTCGATCTCTGTGGTGGTAAATCAGATATAACTCATTATGAACTTTGCACTTAAATAGAAACAAATATTTACGTATATATATATATATATATTTGTCCCCTGGTAGGTCAGCTGTACGGACTTTAAACAGTAAATTTGGAGTTCGATTCACCGAGGTAGAGTACAGAGAGCCTATTCTGTAGCTTTGTGCTTAAACAAACTCTAAAATTTGCCGTCAGGTGGCTCAAAAATAAGTATGAAGGCTTATAACATTAAACATTCGGTTTCGAAAATACGCGGTGGGTACAACACGTATAGCCTATTGTGCAGTATTGCGCCTGTCAACAAACAACAACAACGTATTTATTATAACTATGTGGTTAGCGTCATGTGTATAATTTACGCAGCGAAAGAAGTTGTTGTAAAACAAATCTCAATTTTTATGACAACTTGTGTATTTATTGTATTGATATGTCGCTTTATTTCAAAAAATCCATATACCAGTTGAAGTTTGGTATTATGAAATAAGGGAGTTAATAAGTAAACAACCAAGCACAGACGAACTGGTCTTCAAACTTAATTCAATGTGAGTGATACAAAAAATTCAACAATAATTCAAATGGTGATAACAAGCTATAGAACTTTATAGATTATTTCGAAATTATGAAAACACTGCGCACCTCAGTTGCATAATATCGCCAAGATTCGGTAAATTAATTTTAAATTATAGTGTCAAAGATGAGGAATATCAAGCGATTTATACCAGTACTATAATCTATACAGAAAACCAGAACTACAATCGATCGAACTTGAAAGACGGAAAGGAAAGCTAGTAATTGAGGGGAATAAGTTAGATATTTTCATGTTCTTTGAAGCAAACATGATGAAGCACCCAATGATGACTGATGATGATGATAACTGATTCATAAGGTTCACTAAGAACATAAAATTCGAGTTTTATTTGAGTCTAAACGGACATTAATTACAGCTATCGCATGTCTTAATATGTTAGTAGTAGAAGCAGCCTACTTGGTTTTCATAAAATAACGTTATCGATTAAAAGACACACCGTGAATGTGTTATACTCGAGCATCAAATACTTGTTTACAATATTTATGAAAAGTAATACAATTATTTTAAAACGTTAAGCATTGACCGTATGTATACGGATACGAGTTGCAATTGAACAATGAATGAGTACAAGATGTAACCTGTGATGAGTATACGAGTTGCAGTTGAACAATGAATGAGTAACGTTTTTTTAGGGGATGGTTAATGTAAGTGTTCCAAAACGCGACATTAATTTCTTGGCGACCTAATATGATAAGATATGGTTTGTTTGTTTATTATGAATTTCACGCAAAGCTACACGAGGGCTATCTGCGCTAGCCGTCCCTAATTTACCTGTGTAAGACTAGAGGGAAGGCAGCTAGTCATCACCACCACCCACCGCCAACTCTTGGGCTACTCTTTTACCAACGAATAGTGGGTTTGACCGTCACATTAGTTACCCCCACGGCTGAAAGGGCGAGCATGTTTAGTGGGAAGGGGATTCAAACACACGACCCTCAGATTGGGAGGCGAGCGCCCTAACAACCTGGCCATGCCGCGCCTGATAAGATATGGAAACAAATGCTATAAACAGTACATTAAACATATAATAAATCATAAAAACCCAATCAGCTGTTATGAAAGCATTAGATGTAATAAAACTTTTCAGCAGTACCTTAAGTGTGTTAGTAACACTATCCTCTTATAGTAACACATGTATTATATAAATGGAAACTATAAACATAAGTTGAGACAATTTGAAACCTGTATACTGTTCTATGGAAGTATAGTAACATCATCTGCCTTTGTAAAACACACTTAATAACACTATCAACCTTGGTAAAACATATGCAAGCAAGAAATATAAAGTAAGATGTGTAAAATGAAATATTGTGCCAAGAATAGTAAAAATCATAGTTATATGGGTATAGCAATAATATATTTAATCCATCGAGCCAAATAAGTTACATTGTAAGCTTGTACGTTAAATTATTACATAATATTTAGAGGTTTAAATAAACATCCTTTTCGGTACAATAACTGTAAAAATTATGTTATGCAAATCAATTTTGGAAGCAAAAACTATACTACAACATGTTAATTGTGTACTGAATTATAAAAACACAATCGGTTTATATATATATATATAAACGAAACATTAGGTGTGATAAAACTTTTCAGGAGTAACTTAAATGTATTTTTCACATATCCGCCTATAGAAGCACATGTAATACAAATAAATATATAAATATAAACATAGTTGAGACAAGTTGAAATGCGTGTGTAGTCCGACAGAAGTACAATAACACTGTCCACTTATAGAACCACCATCTGCCTTTGTAAAATGTATGTAAGTGAAAACTATAAACATAAGATGAGACAAGTTGAAATCTGTATGCAATCATACGGGACTATCCGTCTATAGAAACACCATACATCTTTATAAAACATACACAATGTGCCTAGCAAGAGCATTCGCTTATAGAGCCTTTGTAACACAATTCACTTAGTAACATCATCCGCCTATACAAACACTATCTTTAGTAACAGAATCCGTCTACGGAAACACAGTCCACCTTTGTAAAACGTATTTAATATTATACTTATAAAGCAAAACTGTAAAATCTACATTATCGAAATTAGTTTAAATTATTAGTTTTAAGACTTTGTTACTATAAAGTTAAAGTCATGTCTGCGCGCTAATCATACTAACGCTCTTCATGGCTCTAGCAACACGCTTTCTGGACAACTTCCATTGTCATGGTGACATGACAACTTCCACCTGTCTTGGCGTCCTGGTAGCGTCCCCTCTGATTGCATTTCGTGGAACTATGACATCATTGTTTCTACCTCCCAACCCCATTGCCTGGGTTCCATACACGTGTGTCGCCAAATGGGATAACTATTGAAGTGCGTACCCATTTAAAAATACTTTGTGTAAACACAGCTGAAAAACAAAGTTCTAATTCATGTGATATATACATGCAGTAACAAATTATAAATGTATTTAAATATTCACTATATTATTATGTACTCATCGACGTCATAGCTTTCTTACACGAACATGGGTGTTCCGTTCAAAAGGGCAAAGAGCAGTTGCCTCGCATTTCCACTGAAATTGCCTTTCGAAACAAATCATGAAAATGTTGAAATAGAGTTGTGAAACTTATTACTATTATTACAAATGATATTACTTCCAAATATATTATATCAAATATTTTATGAAGTTTGTCATTAATACGTTACTTGTACGCATAACACCTTCTGGAACACTCTCTCATAGTTTTGGAAATGTCTAGAAAAAGAATGAAGGACACAGTGAGCGATCAAGAGAAATACGTCAAGACAACAAGATGATAATTGTTATATGATTTAGATGGAAAACTGAAGAACAACTGTTCCATTGAAACTTGTGCATGTATAGTTTGGTAAGTTTGTGAAGAGCTATAATTATTTTTTGGTTTACTCGAGATCTTTATTGTAATTTTGTACTACGTGAAGCTCCTTTGTTTAAGAAATGATGGCTAGCTACAATTAATGAAGAGCGTGCAGATTACATTCGTGGAAAGACCTCATTAAGATCAATCCCTAACGGAAAGTAATCTTCGTTTCACCCCCCCCCCCCTCACTCCAATCTTATTGTTTGTTTTGACCAGACGCTCTTGTATAGAAAATAAATATATATAGCCGAGGACTGATGGCTTGTCTCTCGTTCATAAAGAAGCGACCATTCTTTGAAAGAGATTCAAATGTCAGTGCACTAAGTATATAAGAAGAAGCTTAAAGCCTGGAAGATCTTTGAACCTTTCTCGACTTTCTCTAAATTAGGCTTAAAGTATTTAAAAATATATTTTCCTTGCCCTGATCAATATATTGAAAGTTCTTGTCATCCAAAGCACTAAATAATAGACAACTGCACAACTTAAAACATCGTGCTAAGTAAGAGACAGACTTTTCTTCTTTTTCTAGAATATTCCACAAACATTTTGATATTTCTTTTGCATTATTCCACAGCCTAAAATGATCTATACAACTACAATCATTCTCTCTTATGTAAATGACGGTTCCTTAGAGTTTGATCACGTGGAAAACCTAAAGTATTCTTTGGTTAACCTTCTCATTCTTCTAGCCTGATAAGCTGTCCCAACAATACAATCTCATCATTGATAATTGTTTTTTTTCCTAACAGCGTCCTGAGTGAATAATATTTTAAGTTTTTAGAGATAATTACATTAATAACAATCGTCGCCATTTCAACGTTTTTTGTGATATTAACAGAATCGTAAGTTTGCTATTTTCAGATCTAAGTTTATTTCTTTATTCGATGACGAGGAACCCACTTTGAGACTAATAATGGCTGGAGACGGCTTAAATG